ACACGCCAGGATACTCTTCGCATGCCAATAACATTTTTATAGGCAACTGAAAGTAAATTGCGCTCTTCTTGTGAAAGTCCATTTCCCATTACAACAATGCTTTTCATATTTTGAACCATTTCTAAATTTTACCAAAAAATAATTAAAAAAATATTTAAAGATATAATATATATTAAATCTTGCAAAAGCATTTTTACAGTCTAATCTAGTAGTGTGTAAAAGAAAGAATAAAAATTATTATGACTATTTTTTTTATTTATTTAACAAAATATATTGTTTACATTTATATATATATATATATATATATATATATATATATATATATATATATATATATATATATATATATATATATATATATATATATATATATATATATATATATATATATATATATATATATATATATACATATATATATGTACTTATATATATATATAGTAGACACCAGCAATTTCTGGAAATTTATCACTTCAAGCTGGAGAAATTACTTTATAAAAAAATAGGAATTTTGGCAAAAAAAGTAACTTTTAAAGTTGAGTAGAAGCTATCTTATTTTAAAAATAAGCATTAAAATTCCAACTTAAAAGATTTCTTATAAATCGCCATTTTTATTGGATATATCGGGGTGTTCACTCTGCTAGATAAACTGAAAGAACTAGAAAGGACTGTTTTGAAAGGCAAACTAAAAAAACTAAAAAAAATATTTTTTGTGCATAATTGATTCAATAATTATAAAAAATACATTTTCCAGTTATTCAACTGTGTTTTTTAAAAATAGTTTTATACATTTTTTTAAGTTTGTTTTGAGGTGACACCCTGTTTATTATGACATCCGGCCTTAAAGAAATGTAAACAAACCAAAAAGTAGAGTATCAAATTGTAGATTGAACCTTGCGAAAGCGTTTTACTGTTATTTTTAAGGAGTTATAAAATCTTTAATATATATTAACTATATTATCAAGCTTAATTTATTACAATAATAAAAAAAATGCCTCCTGTAAAAAGAACTAGACGGTGTAATTTATATGGTGGTAGCCCTTCTGATCTTCCTATTACAGATCTAGCAACTTATGGTGATGTAGCAAGATTTTTCTACAAATTAAAAGATTTAGATGGTATTAAAGACAAAAATATTATTATTCAAAGAACGCTTTGTAGTTTAAAAGAAATATGGTTCAATTGCAATTCCAAATTAGTTTTGTTACCTGAAAAAAGTTTGATTGTTAAACTTTTAAGATTTTATAATGTTATTTCTTGGAATGGAAATAAAATTAAACCTTTGACCAAAAAATTGTTGGAAAAAAATAAAGAAAAACTTTTTGATCTGCTAGCATGTAACTGCAAGCTTGAAGTTCTTCCTTGTGATGACAGGAATATCAAATGCTCAGGTTGTTCAAATGTGCATCTTTACTGTAGTTGTGTTGGTAGTAAAAAAGTAAGTTATACAAATTTAAAGTAATTTATTTTAAATTAAACTTTAAATAAAATATTTAATTTTATTGATAAACTTTTTTATATTTTATGATTATTTTTTATATTTTTAGATAATAATACGTTTTAAACAAATTAATTGAAGATGATATTTAAAACCAGAAATAATTATTTAGGTTCCTTTGGAAGAGCGCTCCTATATAAAAGACCAAAGGGAGAAAATTGGTACTAAAGGAAAGTTTCAAATAGGAGGTATTGATAACTCTGTTTTATCACCTACTTCAAGAAAAACAAAGCAAACAAAAGCTTCTGATGAAGAAATTTATATTAAAGAGTTTGACACAATCATGGATTCAGATCAGGTAATAAATTGTGACCTGTAAACTTTGATTGTATGATAAAAACTAGATATATTCTTAAATTTCATAATTCTTTTAAATATAATGCTCTTAATTAGAGCATCTTAAATGTTAATACAATTAAATGTAACACTTTCATTGTTATGGTTTTTAATTTCTAGAAGTTTTGTTGTATTTTTTTCTATAATTACAGAGTGAAACTTCAATTTCATCATTAAATCAGACTAGATCAAAGAACTATAACACTACCCACTATCCCAAATTTGCTTTAGAGGTAATTAGATATGGAATATCAGATGAAGCAGCTGCCGCTGTAGCTAATGCTCTACTTCAAGATATTGGTTATCTACATCTAAATGATGTAATTGATCCAAGTAAAATGAAAAGAGAGAAAGAACGAGTATGCTTTAATGCTAGTTTTGAGCAATCTAAAGTTTCAAATATAAAGGCAATTGGTTTGGATAGCAAACGTAATAAAAACTCATTGGTTTATGAACAGAGAGATATTGATGGTGAAATAAATCTTTGTTAACTGTAGACCACTTGACATTCACAATTGAATCAGGTAAAGCCCAATGTTATCTTTTTTGTCTCTGTATTTTTTTATTTTTTTTATTTTTTTTTTACTAATAAAAATGTTTTAATTTGAATAAGGCGAGTTGCAAGGTCAATATCTAAAGCACATAGATGTACCTAAAGAAAAAGGTAAAGGAAAAGATCTTGCTGAATTTACCTGTAATGTTCTCAAGGAGTTTAAGAGTGATAAAAGTATCCAGGCAATAATTTTGGACAATACAAGTGTTAATACAGGTATATTTTTTCTTCAAAAATGCCTGTCTGAAAAAAAAAAAAAAAAAGATAACACATAAATCTTTATTTGAGTTATATATTTTCATATTACTATATCATTTTAGGTAAAGATAATGGTTTAGTTGCTTGTCTTGAAAGAATATTGAAAAGAAGAATTCATTTAATTGGCTGTCTTCTACATGTTAACGAGTTACCATTGCGTCATTTAATTTCTAAACTTGATGGTTCTTCTAATAGCTCAAATAATTATTCGGGTAATCTAAATAATAATATTATTTTACATTCTTGGTGATAATATTATTATTTAGATTACCCAATTATTATTTAGCAACATTATTAAAATTTATAGAAATTCTATTTTTTACTTAAGAGTTTTATTGCTGCTTAACTTTATTCTGATAAGCATAAATATAAACTATTATTTTTAGTAAAAAGTTATAACTATTAATATTAATATACTTGATCAAATAATAATAATAATAATATTTTAAAGGACCAGTTGGAAAATCTTTGACAAATCCAATTCATTTAAATTTAACTGTTGACTTCATACAAGTTGAGACAGACATTGAATATCCTCCTCTGTGTGTCATTAAAGACCTCTCTGCTGACCAGAGAATGCTACTGGAATATAGTATTGGAATTTCTAGAGGGTTTTCAGACAATAAGTATCTGAGAAAAAAAAATAGGTGTGTTGTTTTGTAAATCATTTGTTCCTAATATTTTTCCTTTTATTTTGTTTGTTTGAAGTTTATGTAAATATATATTTATTAATATATAATTTACTATTAAATTATACTATTAATTAATTTTTATATATAAAAGATTATATTTTTAGGCCCTATTTGTCATGCAAGGTGGCTGACAACAGCAGTACGGATCTTGGCACTATACACAAGAACAATCAATCCCAGTAGAGAGCTCAAAATCTTTGTTGAATATATTCAAACAGTATATACTCCTATGTGGTTTAATATTAAAAAGTCTAAGAGTTTCACAGAGGGTCCTAAACTTATTTTCCAATTTATTCAGCGGATTTTGAGGTTGGATACTGAAGTTCAAAATATTACATTGCCCATAATTTATAGAAACTCTTTTTGTCTCCAACCTGAAAATTTTATTGCTGCTCTACTTTATTCTGAAGAACAGGTTTATAGAACAATTGCTGTTGTTAAGATTTTGGAAACAAGAAAAACTCTAATTAAGGATCCTAAAAATGGATTAAAAGATGGTATTAGGGTTAATGCCATTTCAATTATTGATTGTAGATGTAAAAACTGGTCAAAATTAATAAATCTGTATGATATAGACTGTTTTGAGCCCCCTTGTGTGGAAGATATATCAAATGAGGAGCTTTTGAATATGATACCGAATCAGGGAAAGGCTCCCAACTTTCCGTGCCACTCGCAAACGGTCAAAAGAGCAGTGAAAATGACTTCTGATGCTAGCGGAAAATTTATTAACCTCAAGAAAAGAAATGCTTATATTTTAGCTAAATGCCAAAGTCAAAAGAAACGAAAATATTTTAGAACAAAGAAAGATTATACATTGTAATTTGTTATCATTTCTTTAAATTAATCTATTTGGTAATATGTTCGTTTATTATTATTATTAGTTTGGTTCAGCAGTAAAAGTATAATATATTTAGTAGTAGTCAAAAGGGGCATAATAAAATCTTTTTTTTTTTGGGTGAGTGGGGGGGGGGGGAGAGTCACCACCCGTAAAAACACTTCTTTTGCTTCTGTATATTAGAGTAAATCCTAATAAAAAGTGCTGCAACAACATAACATTGTTGTTTATGTTTAAATCCGTTTTTCAGTTAATGGCTAATGATTATTGAAAACCGCTTATTGTTTTAGTTATTTTTCCAATACCCTAAAAACAACCTTAAAAATTTAAATTAAAATTATTTATACAACTTATCCTTATAAAGAATACATTTATAAAAGTTTTTGTGCGTTAACGTTTCAAATATTTATTGTGACCTCTTTTTTTTTTTACTTTTTAATGATAATATATGATAAATATAAGACCAAATAAGATAGAATCAGAAATACTTGAAGCTTTTAATTTTGCCCATAATGTTTTTATGGTCTAAAGAAGGTACTCCAGCTTAAAGTAATTGCAATTTCGAAAAAAAGTTAAAAATTACTGGTGTCTAATATACAGGGCCTTCCCGAGAGGGATGGGGGAGGGGAAGGGGTGTCCAGCCCCCTACAAATTTTATTAGTCAGGAAACTTAGCAAATTGGACATTAGAGTTGGGAAAATTGGAATTATTGTTGGCAGTCTGCAAATGTCGGAAAACGAGGAGCTTTTTTTTTTTTTTTTTAGATAAGTTAGTGGGCAAAAAAAAATTTTTTTGGCTTTAGTCGGCAATTTTTTTTGCATTCGGCAATGCCGACCTCAAAGTGTTTGAGGTCGGCAGTTTATTGCCCACTTCATTTTTCCTAATTCCGAGGATTGTGGTATTAATACTTTATAATAAATGTGTATATATATATATATATATATATATATATATATATATATATATATATATATATATATATATATATATATATATATAATTATTATTATTATATTATTAATATATATATATACAGTGGTGTACACTGGACTTTTAGACTGTTTGAATTTTGACACTTACAGGTATTGTGCACACTCCAAACTTTTGTATGTTCATGCTTATGTCAAATGAGAATGTTTTGCAAGAGTTGCGGTGATAAGAGCTTGGGGACAAAAAAATCCCAATTTTTGGGCCCACCCAGCCCTTAACATGGCAGCAACAAGTTGATAAAATAATTTTTTTAGTATTTTTATCAAAGTTTATATTCATCAACAAATTTAAATTTCATCCAATAAATTCTTATTTTTTGAAAATCATGACCAAGTTTTAACCCCCCTCAATTTTAGGGGGCTGTAAACTTTGTAGGGTCATAAAAACTAAAAACTTAGAGGTTATTGCATGAAATTTGAAATTCGTTGATAAATATAAACTTAGATAAAAATACTGAAGAAATTATTTTATCAACTTGTTGCTCGCACGTTAAGAGCTGGGTGGGCCCAAAATTTGGGGTTTTTTTGTCCCCAAGCTCTTATTACCGCAACTCTTTGCAAAACATTCTCATTTGACATAAGCATGAACATACAAAAGTTTGGAGTTTGCACAATACCTGTAAGTGTCAAAATTCAAACATCTAAAAGTCCAGTGTACACTACTGTATATATATATATATATATATATATATATATATATATATATATATATATATATATATATATATATATATATATATATATATATATATATATATAGTCAGCAATAAACTGACAACCTCAAACACTTTGAGGTCGGCATTGCCGAATGCCGACCCTAATTCCGAGGGCTGTAATACCTTATCTACAATTAGAGAAAAGTTTTTATGATAGTGATATGAAAAAATTAATTTTACACACAAATACTTTTTACCATTTTTGTAGTTACATTAAGGTGACTCATTTATACTTCAACATAAAAATAAGTCTAAAACAAAATATTTTTTGTTTTAATTAAATTTTAGATTATCTGCTGGTCCAATTTGCAACTAGTACCTTGGTACCTAAATAATTTGAATTAAATTTTTATAGAAACTGTAAAACCTATTTTAGATTTACCATCATAGCAACATTTTTAGCATCATAACAACTAAAAGAAATCACAATCGCTAGTTTTTAAATTTTAAAAAAATTTGCGGTTAACAAAACAATTTTATCATTAAAACTATTTAGTTGAACATTTTATCATTACAACTATTGAGTTTAACATTTTATCATTAAAGCTATTTAGTTTTAAATTTAATTATTGCTTGTTTCGCCGATCGATTATTTATTTGCTAATTAAGCATTGAATTAAAACAATGCTTTAATTTAAAATCTTAAATATGTTACCTGACCTTTTAATGCAGTCAAAAATTTTCGAAATGATAAAAAAAAAATCTATTACTATTCTAAAAAGTTTTACTATTAAAATCTTTTCTTTAGAAAAAGAAAAAAATTGTTTTATAATATAAATAAAGATAAAATCTAAAATTGTTTTAAAATATAAATAAAGATATAGTTATTGATAAAAGAAATTACCGTTAGATTAAAGTTTTTTTTTTTTTTTAATAGAAATTCCAAGTTACACGTAAAAAGCTTTTTAAATAGGTATTTTAACTAAATTAAAATTAACTTAACTAATCTTATTGCAAAACTAATTATTGAATATTGTATTGTCATCAAGAAAGAGTATGCATGCAAAATTTAAAAAAAATCTATCATCAGGAAGTGACTTTTTACAAGATTTTGATTTTTGCGAAAATTAATTGCAAGATTTGATGCTCACAGACGAGGAGTTAATAAAAGCATTGGGAAAAAAATTTTTTTTTATAAATATTGTTAATTTGGTGACTTAATACTACTTTGGTCATTTTATTCAACACTTCGCTTATTTTAAATTTTAATTATTTGCATAATTTCAAAACTCTTTTTGCAAATGAATTATTTTAGTAGATTTAAAATAATCACTTTTTATTATGATTCTTACACAAGAAGCGTCAAAAAAAAATTATTGCAGGAAAAAAGTCTCATGCATTTTTGTTATTTATTCTTAAACAACCAAAGTTACATGGTGACCAAACTTAGACAATTTTAATAATATTTGTAGTTGTATTTCGTAGTATCTGATTTTTACATTAAGTGCTACGAATTTTAACAACATTCTCAAGTAAATTCCTTTGTGCGGATATAATACCTAATTAAAATTATTTGTTTTACAACAATAATAATGTCCAGAATGAATAATACAAATCGCTAAAAAAGGGAATTATCTGTTAAACAATCATGAAAAAAAAAAAAAAAATCAAATTCTTGAACTTTGAAGTGGATTTTAACAAATAGTGGAACAAATAGCAAATTTCTATGAAAAACTAGCAAGTTCTATGAGGATCTAATACTATTCCTTAGACGAATACTATTTGTTCATTATTAAAATAGTACTAATAAACAGTTTCATTAACAGACAGTACTGCTCGATTACTCTTGAGTCCCTAATACAAGAGTGGATGGGAATAATAGGGAAGGGGGCGGTGAATTTTAGTCCAGATAAGCTGTTTTATCATAACAGTTTTATCGAACAGCTGTTTTATCATAATTTCAATAGGATTTAATATGCTGATATAGGTTTTATACTTTGGTAAGAAATAAACCAAAAGCTCATTTTCGACAAACCGAGATTTACTAGGTCAGTGATTTTTAAAGCCTGTTTCACTGAAAGTTTTTGTTTTTATCAGTGACTGAAAGAATTTTTTTTCAATTTTTTAAGCCGATTTTCATTGATTTTTACAATTAGATATAGACTGCCAGTAAAATGTTTTTTTCTTTTTTTTTTTTTGCAGTAATTTATTAGATTTTTTATGTTAATTAATATTAGTTTGTATATTTTCACTAGTTTATTTTATTTTAAAAGTGAAAATTACCATTTATTTTAATGTGACTTGTTTATAATTTCTAAAATTTTATTGGTTTCATTAAAATTAAGCATTGATTACTATAATTCTAGCTATAGGTATGCATGGTATTTAAAAAATAATTTTTCCTTTTTATCTAAACATTTGCAATGTATCTTTTGAATTTTGTCTTATTTAACTTCTCAGTTTTGAAGATTGTCTTATTTAACTTCTCAGCTTGCTTTCACATTCAGCATGCATCGAAAAAAATTAGCAATAGTGAAAGCAAAATTGAAAAGCATGCCATACAAGTTGAAAATGCTGAGACAAAGCATTACAAGAAAGAAACAAATTATTAAAGTTTTGATAACTGAAATTAGAGATCTTAAACAAAAGTTTCAAACATATTACAGTAAGATAATACGCAATCTTAAAGCTTAAAAAAAAGGCAACGAAAATTTAAAAACTTTAAAAGCTATAATAAGCTAAAGTTGAGCATAATAAAGATATAAAGGCAAATAAAATGCTGATAGCTAGTTACGAAAACGATATAATCTAAATGGAGGAGGATAACATTACTGTTGTGAATGGCTCAGTAAAAGATAAAATTTATTCATTACAAACCCAAGTGATAATTTATGGTATGTTATTGGCAAATGTACTAAACCATTTCTAATGGAGAAAATTATGCAGTTTTTGGGTGCCATGTTTAATGATGTTCCCCATTGTTGTATAATTGAATAAATCACTTGTGAGCTTGGCAGTATAGCAGAACTGCAAGCATCAGAATGGGCTATCATTAATACACATATTACTCTTGGATTTGATGCAACAATTCAAGAAGGTGTACATATTAATAGCATTAGCTTAACACCATAGAATAAATGCCAAGTCATTGCTCTGGATCAATTAGCTGGAGGTACAGCTGATGATTACAAAAATCATATCAGGGTGGCCACTGGTCATGGAAATCATGAAAATGTCATGGAATTATATTTGATCATAGAAAAAGTCATGGAATTCTTAAATTTTCATTGAAAGTCATGGAAAATTCATGGAATTCTTAAAAATGATCTTTATTTTTTTCTACTTTGATATTTTTAGTATGCAAAGAAAAGTGCTAGTATATCTAAGTCCTTTTTGAAAAAGATATTTTTCCATTGCAAGTTATAAGAGAAGTAAAAAAAAAAGAGTTTTTTTCAGACATGATACCAGAACTTTCTACCAATTAGTTTTTGGTTTGCACGTTTTATAATGACCAAGTTGCATTTACTTAGTGCATGGCAAGTAACATTTTTACCATTTTAGTGAAATCCGTGTATTAAAAAATGTTTTACTAAAAATTACAGGTTATAAATCAAATCCGGGTTCACTTTATAAAATGACCTTGAACCAAATATTTTAGATCCAATAAAAATTTTTTACTTGATTGATGAACACTTTATCAATATGACTTCTGCTTGTCTTATTCAAGTGGGAGACATCATAAGTCATCAATATAAGAGATATTTCTCCCTTTCTATTAACCAGACTCTCAAGGAGGAGGTAGCAAGTGCAAGGCTTCACAATATAGATAGTGAAGAGTTAATGGGAATGTTTAGTGAGGCTGAAGAAAGATCACCTAATGCAACAATGTTATATTTCATACAAATTAAGATAAAAAAAGAATCAAACTTTTAATTACCTAGATAGTTTAGATCAATTATCTAGAGCAAATGTAGTTATGTGGTCTATTTAGACAGCCCATAAAAAGAGGATGATAAATCATATGAAGCATAATAATATACAAGCAGATATTCCAAAAAAACATGCATGCAAATGCCAAAAAATGGATGAAAAAGACAAACTAAAGTTAAAATGGCAGTTGCAGCTCTAAAACAATGAAATAAAAAGTTTATATACATTGTTTATCAAACAATGTCATGACTAAAATGATGCAATGTCAGATAGAATTGTTGGGCAAAAACTCTGCCAAGAATGGTGCGATAGTGAGTATTCCAAGTATGTCATGCATGATGGTAGAGAAGAAAAACTTGAAAAAACAAAACGAGACAAAGTTTACACAATTTCTTACTGGAATAAAGATAATACTGATACTGAAGCTGTTGACTACAACATGAAAAAATTACAGCTTCCGCTGATGTTGGACCAGGAGAGTTTATATTTTTTTAAACTGTAATATGTAACAAATTATGATAATATTATTTGTAACGAAACTTTCAAAATAGAAGTGATGAAACTTGCAAAACAGATACCTCATGTGATGAAACTTGCATAAAGGTATCGCAAGTCATAAAACTTGAAAAGATAGTCATATCAAGTCAGGTATGCCAGGTACTAAACTGTATGTTTTTATTTTACTTTTTTTCATAAATGTTTTTAGAGAAGAATAAAAACATTTGACTTTGCACAAGTGTTGTGACTTGCAAAATATTTTGATAAGTAGCTCTGGCTTATCTTCGCGTGGTGTCTATCATTACAAATGATTATTAGTGTTCCATCTATGAAATTGATTATTTTAGTTATCAAGACAACTATTTAAACGTAGGGTATCTAAAATGTTTTAATACAGAACAATATAAAATTGATTGCTACATTTTTTTTTTATAGAATGCAACACTGATATTTTTGGTAATGAAATAAAACATATTTAATGAAATATACTAATTTATTTTGTTTGTTAAAGATACAATTATTTTTAAAAATTCTGATTTTTGCATGTGTGCCTGCACCTACCATCAAAATGTTAAGTTAATGATTAGTGCAGTTGAATTATCAAAGGATTATCATGAGCTTATTGATATGCTTGTTTGTAGTAGGGCAAACAAGACTTGCATGATACATCATTGCCCCTTGTGCCCAAAAGATTCTACATTAGTACATTATCTTGAAAATAAGTTGTACTCTCAAGACAATATTGATGAAGATGATGATTATTGTATAGATTACAAACAATGGAAAACAACAGAAAAATTTATTTATCTTATTTATTTATTTTTTAGGTTGGGAGAGGGCACAACCCCTCCCACAAGTCAATAAGCATACCACCAATAAATGAAATTCTTGTAAAAAAAATTTTTAATGTTTTTTATACTGTGTACTAGTTTCACTTATTTTATTAGATATAGAAATATTTATTTATAACTAGAGAATTGAATATTTTTGAAATTAGGGTGTGTTAAACCATCACTACCATATCCACCACCAACTTTAATATACATCAATCATTGTTGTTGGTCTGGAATAAAATTATAGCAACTTTTTGTATAAAAAAAATTACCATTTGCTGAAAAAAAAACACTCTTTTATGAAAGAAATACGCTTATTTTTAGGGTGAAGGTAGTGGTTCGGCACCTTCTCTAGCCCCCAGGAAACGCCCAATAGGTGGACAATGTTATAAATTTGTAGCCCACTGTTACGCCTATCTTTTGATACCAAGTTATAGTTATTTAGATAAGAATTGACAAAGTTATAACAATTTAAGTGAAGAAAAATTAAATTTTGACCACACATGTAACTATCTAGCCTTTGATCAATTTTAAATTTTCAATCCACATACCTATTATAATACATACAAACAATGAGTATGTGAGATACTATTTCATAAAATAGAATATCCAAATCAACATTTAAAATTATTCTAAAAAAAAAAAATTCATTCTTTATATATCATATCATACATATTATTATGAAAGTATATTTTTTTATTAAAAGCATTCATTTGTAATCTGCTGTAAATAATTTTATTATTTACAGTAAACACATATACACTCATTTTATACTATTTTTTGTTAGTTATTAGTTAATTAGTTAATTGTGTAAAAATATAAAAAACAAAAAACAATGTATGTATTAGAGATGGATAGCCATACGCCTAGTGCAGTTGTTACACATATTTACATTAAAATATTTGATACTTTTTATCAAAGATCAATGAAAATCGAGACAGTTAAAATATACTTTATAAACTGAGCTAATATTTTATCAAAAAAATCTTGCAACTCAATTTATTATGCAACTTGCTAATATCATAAACTGATATAGTTTACCTTCGTATCGTTCTGCTTGTTCAGCCAAACGAGCTAAGTAGAGGTACTCATCCTTATCAGTCATTTTAACAAAATACCAAAATGCAAAATCAAAATTTTTCAAAGTAAAAACAATTCGTCACCGAATGTTTAAAGAACAAATTTTGCACGGAAAATAACTTCCTTAATGCGATATGAATAAATATTATAAAATATTAATTTTTCTATTCCTCATTTTTCGCTTATTATTTCATTTGCGGTTTGCAGTTCAAAATATCATTACCACAAGTTTAAACTATTCAGAGACTGTAAATAGATGTTATAATTTATTTATTAAGTAAATTAAATAATAAATACATTTGCTTGAGCTAAATCTACTTCTAAGATATTATTATTAAAATCCTGAAACTCAATCAATTTGCAGAATAGCCTTTTTTTGGTAAATTAGGTGTTGATTTCAATGGGTTTAAAATTAAATAAATCGAATATTAAAAAAAAACATTTTTTTTTTATGTGATTAATAAATTAAGATTTATGTTGCTGTAAAGAAAGACTGACAACCATGACTGTTTAACATAATGGTATTGTGGTTTATCCTCCTTCTGCTAATTGCCATATTGATGCCACATACCAACCAAGGTCCACAAAAACACGTTCAGCTCTCTACATTGGCGAGTTTAAGGCAGGGGGGAAGAAGGTAGTAGCCCTCCCTTGGGAATTTGTTTTTTTTTTAAGGCAAGTAAGAAAATATATCAACAGTCTTTATATGCATAATTTATGGATATATACATATGCATAAGTTATGCATATATGCATATGCATAAGTTATGCATATATGCATATGCATAAAGTGCATTAAAAATATTTTATTTTTATTTAATTTTTTCAATCAATGCACTTTTTTTTTGTTACCGTAAACCAGGGTAACTTTGTACCAAATTTGATGAAGAAGATAACTTTATGAAAAAAAGGAACATTTTCCCAAAACTATTTTGATGCTCAAAGTTGTGCATTACTAATGTCATTTAATTAGTAAAATGGTGTATTTATTGTATTCACCAAATCCAAGATTTTATGGAAATAATGAGGTGGTCAATGTTACCCGGCAATGGAGTAACTTTGACATAGTAAATTGTTTTTTAGCACCGGATGTAAATGAAGTGTTATTAACAAGATTTAATGTAATTTAAACTTACAGTTCGCAATTATTTCAAAAAGGGGTACTTAAAATATATCAAGAAATTAAAAAAAGGGACAATAAAAACAAATATAAACAGTATTAAAAAAACATATTAGCTAAAATAATTTGATTTTCTTTTATTATTTTTTAACCAAATGATTAAAAAAACTTAACGATTTTTTTTAATTAAATGTCAGAAAAAGCAAAAAATAAGAGAGTACTAAAGAATAAACAAACAATTTGTAACATAAACTCTGTTTTAAAAAAAAAAAAAAAATTCAGACATCTCTTCAGTAGTCTATCATAAATTTAATAGAGACTGATTCACCTTCAGATGCTGTTTCTGTTTCACTATCGTATTCTACAGAAATAGATTTTCCTGGTTCAATTTTAAGTCTTTTTTTGGATATATATATTTTTTGTTTATTTTTACTTTGTGTAACATCTTTCTTATCACTACTTTCATTTTTTTTCTCATTTAATGTCTAAGAGGCTCTGGTCTAAAGCTTTACGAGGACTCAAGACGTTTTCACTTGGTAATTTGATATACACAGCATTAGGATTAAACGGCACTAAACCACAAGCTTTAAAACCACTTATTAAATTTTTTCTCGAGCATGTATTAATGGATGTCATTAAATCATTCAGCAACTTAGAGAAATCTTCTTTTGGTAACATTGCAAATTTTTTACCACGTGAAGTAAGTTTCCAATTCAGAAGTATAGTTCTCCATGCTTTTTTTAATGGTGCAAAAAATGCAACACCAAGAGGTTGAAGCAAGTGGGTTGAATTAAGCAGAAGGCATGTGAATCTAATGTTATGTTTTTCACAAGAATGAATAACTTTATGACTTAAATGGGAAGAGAGATTGTCACCTATTAATACTTTTTTCCCAGTTTGTTTCTTAATGCATGGCAATAATGTTCTAAAAAACTAATTCTCAAAAGTAACTTCATCAAATCAGTCAGATTGGGTTCTATTAAAACGAGAATTTTTGGGAATGTGTTTTACCCATAAATCGTATAAATGTGTGCTTTTAAAAACTGTGTATGGTGGAAGAATTTCTCCAACACCATTTCCACAAAACATTACAGAGAAACAAGCCTTACTGCATTCATTATCCTCTCAGGGTACTTAGTTCCATGTTTCATTACAACTTTTTTATTTCCAGGATCATCACGTAAATTTGTTTTATCATAATTCCAAATGTTACACGGTGGAATCCCTTCAAGCTCAAGTCTAATATTGTCAAAATAAATTTTTAATTGTTCTTTGTTTATAGCTGCACGTTTTCTTTTAACATTTGATGCAATTCTATGGGTTAACTGTGAACGTTTCATAAAACTTGAAACCCAATCATCACCAGGAAGTTTTTAAATATTTTTACAGAAGGTTTATGCGATTTTAAATAACTAGCTACTAACATTTTAATATCAAGTTTATTTAATGGAAATCCCCAATTGCACATAACTTTGATTCTAGATGAAAACAACTGCTCCTCATCATAAGTAAATATGGTTGGTGCACCAATGCATTTTTTATGCTTTGACTTCATCTTATTATGTATAGTGCTTCTTGGTATACTAAACCTTTTTGAGACTTGACGAATAGACATACCTTCATTAATTGCACCCATACACTCTTTCAAAAGAATGGTATTAGAACAAGTATTGTATTCACGTTTACCAACACTAAGCTTGTTATATTTACGAGGCATTATGCTTTAAACAAAAGTAAATATAAACAACACAAGCAAACTGCAATGTAGTAATTTATTAAACTATTATATAATTTTATTAAATTGCAATATTGATTTAGCAACAAAAACAACAAATAGTTTAACAAGAAAATATACTTTTTTTAAAATCCAAAATACATTCATGCAAAATCTGTTTTTCAAAAAAAATTATTTGGATGACATGCTTCAAAATAATATTTTAGTTATAATAAATAACGATCAGACTACTTTAAAATGAATATTATTTACTTGGCCAAAGTTACCCCAAAAGAGTATAAACCTACGGGGTAACTTTAACCACCCAGTAAAAAAAACCAGAATGTTGTTACTTGAGCCCAAAACTTTTTGCTTAATTTTATCTGAACGTTTGTCTTTAAAAAAGAAGAAAAACTGAGTTGTTTGCTATCATTTTTATCTTCGCCCAGACAACATTCTGTTTTACAGTTTTTGATTGTGTTTGACCAATATATAGTTTTCATTCTTTTTTACTTATAGTAAAGAGCATTTGCAACAAACTTCAGATCAAAATTTAAGCAAGATAGATTGCATTTACAAATAAAACAAAAATAGTAAAACGCTACTTAACTGTTTAAAAGTTAGAGATGTTTAATTAAAATTTTTAAAAATAGACAAAGTTACCCCGGTTTACGGTATGTTGTTTTTGTTTATGTTATGTTTTTGTTTATGTTATGTTATTTTGTTTATGTTACTTAGATACACTTAGATACAGTTTCAAATTCTTTGAAAATAAAACTGCTGATGATTACAGATAGTAAAAGTTTTTTGCACTTATCTGCACTTTTTGTGAAATGTGTCAATTACATCAGTAGAAACCAGGTAACGAAACCAGGTCATGAACACTTGAACTAATGAGGTTCTTTTTTTTTTTGTAAGATTTGTTTTGATCAAATTTAAGGGAAAAAAACTTATCGAGTTTTTGAATAACTTTTTTTGAGTGACTTTTAACATTAAATTTAAATTACTGTAATTTATTTTTGTGAATCGATTCGAATACGTTTTAATATCATTTATTCATGCAAGTTTTTGATTTTTTTCTTTATATTATCACCAGTGGTGTACGACTCGCTCGATTTCTTGTAATTCGGCGAACGGGGATTCTGGGATGTCTAGTACAGCCAGATTTGTAAAGGTTGTGTTTAGATCATATCCCATTCGGAACGATTATTTTTGTTTGCGTATTTATAATAGCAAGGTAGATAAAAGATAAAAAAGCAAGCGAGATAAAAACAATGGTAAATATTTAGTTTTCTAAATGACGTTGAAGCATTATTAAATTTACGTTACACTTAAATAACGCGCTATTTAATAAAAATATAGAATAACAAAAAGCAATGCTTAAAAATGTTTTAAGTACCAAAAATGCACTATATACTGCTTAAAATAACGGTCTCTAATTTTAAATAATTTTTTTTAGGGTAAAACCATCAATTCCTGGCCGCCTAATTTTAAACTGCGTCATATGTTACCGCAAATGGCTTAGATTCTTGAAAATATTTCTAAACTCTTAAAAATCCTCTTGAGATACAAGTTATGACAAGTTTGGTAATTTTTGTTAATAAATTAGTTATAATAATTTTTAGTACAAATATTACTAGGCATAAAAAACACCAAATCATGGCCAGAGATACAAAACATGGACATTGCGAACTTATTCCTGACCATTACGTTTTACGAAGTAAAAGTAGTGATAACATTTTTAAATTTAAATAAAAATTAAAACAAATTTATTGTAAAGAGTTTAGTAAAGAAGTTCTGCATAAATTTTTACTTTTATAAATTTCTTTTTTTTAAAAGGTAAACAAACAATAGGTTTTAAAGCTAACTAAAATGTTCAAACTCAGATAAAATAACGTTGCGTTAATCTTATGTAACAAACTGAGGATCCAATTATGAAAGTTGGATTATACTTTCATTTTTAAAAACTTGGAAAGCCACTAACTCAATATTTAAAGCAAAAAACTTCTTTTTTTGTGGCCAGGATTTGGTGGTGGCTATATATAGGTGGTTTTATTATAACGAATATTTTCTTTTTGAATGTTTACACAATTTTTTTAGCTTGTATTTCATTGAAAATATTCATTTCAAATATTATTTAAAAATATTATTAGAACTTTTTTTTGTGTTATAAGTTAAAAAACTGCTTTTAACTCATAACGTTTTGAATTTGACATCAATACCGCTTAAGCGAGTTGGACGTGCCTGGTTAATACACAGTTATGTTTATAATTTTATATAATAAAGTTATATACTAATACAAACTTTTTTTATAACTTTTTTCAATTTAAAAAATTTATTGACATCTGGAGCACTTCCAATGATTGCCAAAATTCTTATTTTTGAATATGTTTGTTGGTATGTTTTGGCATCTTTTATGGAACCATTCACTGCAATTTGAGCACTGTGCCATGAAAAGGCCTTTGTCTGTCTCGACGTCAGAATCAAAGAAAGACATCCTACATGAACAAAAAATATCTTGAAGGACTATTTTTTGTCTTCCTCGTTTAATTCGTTTACTAAACGAAGCTTGTGGAAAAGTACTCATTAAATTTTGTCGAAAACAATCAACTAGATGTGCCCGCATTTTAGTATGGTCATAGTTTGAATCAACTGGATTTATCCCAAAGAGAATATCTGTTGCATATGCTATCGCAAATAAGCCGCAATCTGAACCATTTTGTTGTTGTTGTGTGGGCTCAATTAAAATACGTAGTATGGATTCATTGCAGTTTACAACATGACAAATTTGTTTAATTGAGGTATGGTGTAAAGGATTACTAGATAAGGAGTCAAAAACTTTAATATTATTCGATGTTTCTGCCGCAAATGTTATCCAATGGTTGTTACTGTAGATTATTTGTATCCTGCTTGACTTTAGCTTGGACATTTTAAGCAAAGGACCTAACCCAGTATCTTCCAAGCCTTCCGCAAAAGGAAATTGCTTGTGGAGCAAAAGTTGAGCATGGTTAATTTCATTACAGGTTAACCAATCACCACTTTGTATTACTTTTTCCATATTGGAGTCGAATATTGAATGAAATCGATAAAACTTAAGTTCTCCCGGTCTCCCTTTTTTTAATTGAGTAATTACCAACTCTTCTTCTCCAGTTTCCATCTTATCTTCAACATGCTGTTTTTCTTCTTCGCAAATTTCAATGATGATGTCCTCTTGATCAGAGGAGTCAGTATTGAGCTCCAGATTTGCTCTGTAACATTGTTTCATCATTTCAGCTGTCTGTCCACACCTTCCACTAAACGGATGCTTTCTTTTTCTGGCGAATAAATTTTTAGAAGACAAGTTACTTTTTGGTTTTAAAATAGATTTTGATGTTAAGCTGGTTTTTGATTTAAATTTTTTTATAGGGGAGTCCCTTTTTATTAATCCTGATGGTTGACTAAGATTTTTTAATATTAACGCTGTAATGGTATCTAAGTCTGTGTTCATATGATCCAAAATATTTTCATCTTTAACTAGATAGGTTAAATCCATTAATCTTTTTAATTTAGAGCGCGAATCGATTTGATAACATTTTGAAATTGGTTGGCGTGTTTTGAAGTCATTCGCGTAATGCTTGTTAAATAATTGTTTACTCTTATCTTTATTATCAAAATTGTTGACTTGTAAGTCAAAAATATTGTTGTCATTAGAAATACTATTTAGTTCATCGTCTATCTGCTGCTCGTTTTTGTTCTCAGTTGGTTTTGTATTACATTGAGCTTCTTTCTTTGACGAGTTAACAAAAATTTCGGGATCCAGAACGGACCAACTATGATTAAGAAACTTGGTAGTAAGATTTTCAAATGTTGACATTCCAGATTTAAACACGGCAAAAAAATGTTTACAAATTATTCGATGACGACGATAATCTGAACAAGAACAGGAACAAAACTTATCCTCGTTACCTATGCACACAATATAATCGTTAATGTTATTAGTTTTAACTTCGGAACTATTGACCCCGAATGTTATCGGGTCTATTCTTTTAACTGAATTTACCATCGAAGATGTTACTTTGCTTTCGTTATTCAATAAAATATTTACAAGTTGTTTTGGGCGATTTCGAAAATACGACGGCACTCCATCATTATATTTTTTATAACCTTCACTGTACCTTACGTTCAACTCCACGTATTTACGATAATGCTTTGGTATGAAGTTTTCAATAACAACTGTAAGCATCTCACTGAGTGAGCAATATTTGTAGTTAGCAAGGTCGTCGTATTTTAGATCCTCGTTTAATCGCTCAGTGCCATTGTTGGTATTATTAAACATCATGTCATCAGGTCTATAAGCCAGACACCATCTTTTTATCTCTGGTAACCACGTTCCGTGAAACCTTGATTAAAATAGCTATTCTAGTTATGTATTATAACACTTGTAGTCAATATATACACACTATATAAAAAAAAGCGTATAATAGCTCTACGACAATAACAAAAAAAGTTAAAACATAGAGTTATAAAAGTATTAAACTTTTAACAACAACACCTTATTAAACATTGCTAACATAATTATTTACAAAAAAAAAAAATTACCATTTTAGAAGTTTGTCTTTACAGAATTCCCAAGATAAGAACTCGGACGTAGCTTTTCGACATTCTTCTACATTTTCTGAATGCGCTATACGACGCAAGTATATTTTAACCTGTTGTGCAATATTTTGCACCCCATTATCTAATTTTGAAATCCAACGGTGCCAACATTGCTCACGATGAAAGTCGCATAAATACACCTTAATGTTAGGAAAAACTGATTCTAGCGAATAAATCTCTTCTTCGTCAAAGTCAACCATTGCATATTTAGGCTCAATATCAGGATTCCATGATTTTATTAATGTCAAAGCTTTTACGATCATGACTTGCGTCTCTTCCTGCAACACAAAAATTGCAACCACTTGGAAATTTACATTAGTCCTGACAACTAAAAAAAATAAAGGCAAGGAATACTTTGTAGTTTTATATGTTGCATCTAAACATATAAAATGCTCTGCATATCTTTGATACAAACGTTTCATTTTTTCAGACTGATAAACAAAAATCATTTTACCATCTGTATTATGAGTTGCAAGATTTTTAATTACTTTTTCGACCTCTTCGTCACTTTGCAAATCTATGTCGTTTTCCACTGTTTGAGCTTCGATGCGCTTGCTTAAACCCTCAAACCATATGTCACCCCATTTAGACCATTTATCTGTTACAAGTTGTTCAACATTTATTTGGTCTACTTTGGCATATCGATTTTTCAGCTTTTCGGATATAATAATATTTCTAAGTTTTCTCCGAGAAGGTGTATATCGGCGTCGGTGAAAATCGTTGTCGCTAAGCGTCGGTAAAATAACTAGATTAACATATCCTTCAGCTCTACTCTCTAAATCTCTTATGCCCTTACAACCACTTCTTATCTGTTCTCGTAAAAAATCATTTACTCTTTTGTCTAACGGTTCTATCAAACCAGCTGCTTCACCAATGTTATGATTTTCATGTGGTTCAGTAGGCCACTTCAACAAATAAACAAGTTGTCCGATTTGAGGAGAATTTTTTGATCTTGCTACTATAAACTGCTCTTTTAACTGCCTTCCTGCGTTAGTTCGATTATACTTATTGTTTTTAGGCAATTTAGTTTCATAAAAGATCATGATTTTTTTAACAGAAAAAGACACAGGGCAATCCATTTTTTTTGTCGGTTGCGTGTACTTACGCGATTTTTTGTACATGTGATCACTCATACGAAGAGCATCATTTTCTATTCGGTATCTTTCTTTTTTTTTAGCATCAATATCTTTACCTTGATGGCAGTGATAAATTTGTTTTCCAAGCAATATATAAGGGTGCCCACTATAAGGAATTGGTAATCTATCATTTGCCCCACAAAATTCCCAGCATGGTTTTGGTAAATTCTTTGATGAATTTAAAATGTCAATCAGGGAAACTAAACAGATTAAATAAAAAAATTAAACAAAATATTTTCGGATGCATTCCATGCTGTCTCTCACAACGTTAATATATGTGACTTAAAACATAAAATATTTATTTAATGAATTATGTGACATATCAGCACGTTTATGTCATAATTATTATTATTTTTTTTCAATTACTTAGGTGCTCTAAGTCCTAATGGTCTTGTCACAGAGCACCGCTAAATGGAGAACAGCATTTATTAAGTTGGCTCTCCGTTTCCAACTTTACCAATAACGTTTAAGTGCTTCGAGCGGGATCGAACCCACAACCTTTTGGTTACGAGTGCTATGCTCTAACCACTGCGCCACGGCTGCTAATCTAATAATAATCATTTCAATTATATCACATCTAGGTCAGAAATAAACTTTATTTATTTGAGCTTACCATCTTTGGAAAAATCTTTTGATTCCTTTGCGACACGATACTTTGTAATTGTTTCTTCTTCGTATGTCTGTATAGCATCTAACAATGAACTATAGCTCATAAACTGCAAAACATCTAAAAAAAAAAAAAATTGAAAAGGAGTTTTTTTTTTATATACTTGCATAGTAGTGTCCGGGGTTTTGGAGTCGCAAGTTTTTTATCACGGTTCGACAGGCTTACGGAGCAGAAAGTTTTTTTCATGGTTATGCTCCGGCTCCTAACAAATATACGGTTCTGGCTCGGCTCCCGAATTTTTTGTGCAATAATTACAAATAAAATTTTTTTTTTTTGTAATTCTATTTTCTCAAACATTAATCTCTTGCTTAATTAAACAGTAAAGTTTGCATATTTGAAAAAAAACTCAGGAGCTGCTACATTTTTGCGGCTCCTCTAAAAAACAGCGGCTCCACGGCTCAGGCTCCACAAGACTGGTAGTGTCACACTATCAAAAAAGTCGCACGATTACACAAAAGAAAACACCAAACAAAGTTTTGTATTAGTTTGATTTTAAAGTCTAAACACATTCCGCATTTCTTTTGAGGCCATGTCAAAAAATGATATGTTCTTAAGCGACGATGAAAAATAATATGTTCTCAAGCGTAAAAAAAAGTTAAAATACCTAATTGCTGCGATTGACAATTCACAAGTAAATTTTACAACACTTAGAGTAAGAAGTCATTTAGCCAAACAATTAGCAGGGAGACCATATGTGCGCAGCGACTGGATCCAAATAGGTAATCATTTATTATCCTCGGCGGATACGCAAATAGGGCTTAAATGGGTCCCAGACTATTCACTGGGCAACTTATAAGATTCCCTGATTTTATTCTCATAATTCAGCCATAAAATTTAGAGATAATAAACAACAGAATAAGTTTTTTTTTATATAAAAGCAAACCACTAAGTACAAAGAAACATTAAACGGAGAAACAAATATATTGTCCAACTCAGGAGCATTATCGTTGGTAGCGTATTTCTGAGAATATAATCGGCTGTTACTCACACAATCCAACGACTTTTGAAACCATAACAAAAACTTCATTTCTATTTCGCTTTTTGTGCAGCTTCTGTGCTTCGATTGAACTTAACAGCAACTAATTATAAAACAGTATATTAAAAGTACATAAAGAACCCACATTACCTGGTTTACAAACAAAAGGGATGAACCCAGACTTTTTAAAATAACGTTACAGCGGTACGGGCGCCCAAGAAAAATACCCGATTATTACAAAAGGGCCTAATGGATTATTATAAAGCGGCCTAATCGACCTAAAGACACATACCTAATTAGATTTACTAAAAACTCAATCCCAGTTAAACCCGTTGAACTTAAATCATTCCAGATAGCCAAAAATTGAAATTATATGTTCTACAACTATATAGGATACATTATCTTGTTTCTTAACCCTTAAATTAAACAGAATGAAGTATTCTAATAATAAACCAAGACTTAACTAGACTCTCTGCTCAGATTGATGCCATGCTTATAAAAACTACATAAAACTAAATAAATTAAATAACAGTTTATAAAAATTGTGCTCCATGATTACCATTTTATGATTATTTTTTTAATGATAAACATCTTTTCATAGCTAATAGTTTTTTTTACATTTTTTCTTTACTTTTGTTTGTGAGACAGCAATCAGTATTCTTCTTGAATTGATTGCTGCCTTGTTCTTTAAAGCTCTCAATGTTTTGTTCATAACTCCATTATAATATAGTCAACCAGTTTATCTGACTTATTTAAAACTGATATCTTATCCACCTCTACTGCTCACCCAACTCAGTATATTGAAATAACATGAGTAAGATCGAGGTAGTTAACTGTAGAAATCTCCATTGTAATTCACATGAGTATATTAAGCAGATTAATTGGTTGTATAATATTAGCAATGTTAGTCTTACTCAATTTTAATGTTACTGTCTTAATACTTTTAAATCAGGTTGTAACAAAAATCAACCTATACCAAACTGGCCAGATTATGTAAGCGATGCTCATAAGACTGCTAAATATGCATTCTGTCTATGACAAGCTTTACAAAAAATTTTAATCTTTTTTACAATGCTTTTATTTAATGCTTTAAAAAGAGCTTTATATAAATATGCCATTTGTCACTGTAAAAAAAGAAGATATTACAAATGAAGAAAAGCTGGCAAACAGTTAGGCAAAGGAGAACTATACTAGTTTATGGTATACCTTATGATTATTGACTATGCCTCAGTTCCTCCTAATCTATGTTACACATAGCATAACAACTATTCGATCTTATTTAGCTCAATCGAGCCAACATAGTAACATGTTGTTACCAACCAACATATATGTATCCTACTACCTTGTAGGATACATCTCTTATCTTTTTCAGGCAAAGGCTAGAAGCCAACTCTGACATAAAAACAATACCTTTGGGGCACTTGGTTGAGTAAAGTTAGCGATAAAAGAGTCTCAATAAAAAACTCATCTTGGGCAGACATTAAATGCATCCAGCTACTGTCTAGTAAAAAGCCTCCTAGGCAAAGACTTAAGAGGTAACATATTCTATCTGTTGACCAGCTTTGCACCCCTCTTCATCTATTAGGCTGGCGTAGATGAATTTACAGTACAATGTTTCTAATTTAGGATGTTGAATGCTGGAATCTCATGACTCAATGCATGGGATTTGCTTGTGTTCCTGTTTGTACAACTAACCAACTTATTTTATTTTCTCCTAATGAGAGTACAGCTCTCTAATACATAGTTTAATAGTTCTGAGGCTGGCTGTTAGTTAGGTTTCTTGAACTCTGTGGTAGCTCTCATAGAGGCTGATTACATAAACAGCTGTAAAGATTTAGAATCCAAACAATGCTATGTTACGCATGAATGGTGTCCCTGTTTGTTTTTTTGGTGAGCATTGTCAAGGCTACATCTGAAGCCCTTTGTTAAGGATTAGGATTTATTAATAGTAATGAGGCAATTTCATGGACATTCAAATAGTATACTGAGTAGACTGTGCTATTAGTCAAGTTCTTAAACTAATCAAAAAATGACTATAAATATATAAAGTACCAAAAACTATAAAACACAAAAAACCATCGTCATCACCAAGTTCTCTAATTCTATAATCCACTATAATTTGTGGTCTTCGGCATAACTTTTCTTCTTTTGAGTCTAATCTTTTGTAAAGTTAACCAGACCTACTTGCACTTTGTGAAATTAAATTGAGCTCAGCTGTCTCATCCTGTGATCTTAGTATTGATGGATATATTATTTTGGTTCTTAAAGACTCTAAGTCAAATATTTGGTCTAGGCTTTTACATTTAAAAGAATTGTCGGGAAACTAGATTTAAATCCCCTGACCACTTCACTCATTCACCTTTATCTTTGTTCTATATCTCTCTCCTTTTTCTCAAGACTGCACTCTTTTGGATGTTATATCTGATCAAATTGACCTAGCCCTTTCTCCTCATCTTTTAGCAATTATTGTTGTTTTTGGTGACTTTATAGCTAATCACACAGAATGGCTTGGCTCTAATGTCAGTGACTCTGCAGGCATTTAGGCCCACAACTTTTGCCTTTTTCAATCTCTAATACAAATAGTCAACTTTCAAATACACGCTCTCCAGACAATCCGAATCATTCACCTTCTCTAATTGACTTATGTCTAGTTTCTGATCCTAGTCAGTGCTAGGATCATACTTCTGCTACAGCAAGAAAGTCTCAATGGCTGGTGAACTTTAACTTAAATAAGACTCAATAATTTTTAGCTAATCGTTATCCCAATAATTGCGATCTTCCTATATTTATGAATGATAATATACTTGACGAATCATCTACACTTTGGCTCCTATAATTAACTCTTACTTCTGATCTTTCTCGGAAACCATATATCAAATTCATTTCAAAATTAAATAGCATGCATCTCCTTATCGTGCTTGCCACGTTCTTACTACTGATTCTGTCCATTCTTGTATATAATAGTTGCCTAGGGTGAATCTTCCATTGATGACCTTTCTCTTTTAGATAAGGTGCAAAAGCGTAAACAAAGTTGAAGCTGTTCTTGCAGCCAACCTCCGACCATTGTCACATCCTCGTAATGTTGCTTCTCTTTCTCTTTTCTACAATTACTATGATGGGCGTTAGTGTCTCTTGTGCTATCTACTAAAATTCATTCTCATGTTATGCCTTATTCAATGAAGTCCTTTTACTGTGACTGTTCTTAAGTTTACTAAGTTTTCTAATTTACCTTAAATTTACTAAAAAGAAAAAGGTTGATCGCAAATTGAACTTTCTTGATATAATTATTAACTCTGTGAATTATAAATTTAATACTTCAACGTTTTACAAAAAAACATACACAGTTTTACAAACTAATTTTAAAAGCTTTACTTATATTAATTATGAACTAGGACTCATTAAAACTCTGATCAACAGGGCCTTCAAAAAACAGCAAGTTTTCATCTAGATATTGTAAAAATTAAACAAACACTCCAAAACAACTCTTTCCCCGTTAACTTAATTGACAAAACCTTCAAATATTTACTAAACAATTTTATCTCTCCTAAAGAAAATATGTCATCTGCAAAACCATCTGATATACATTACTTTAAACTCCCTTATATTGGAATAATTTTGAAATACATTTAAACACCAATTAATTAAATACATTTAATATATTTTAAAGATAATATAAAAGCAAGACTAGTTTTTACAACTTTTAAGTAGTATGCTTTCATCAAAATACCCCCTACCCCCAAATTTAAAATCCTTTGTTGTCGATAAATTTGTTTGTTCCGGCTGTAACGTATACATTGGTAAAATCAACAGACACTACACCACAAGGGTTTCAGAACATTTAAATTCAGATAAAGTATCCAATATTTACAAACATCTTACTTCATTACAAAAATGCAAAAACTCAACAAATCATGAATCTTTTTGCTATTATTGACAGAGTTTCTTCATGTCAATTATTTATATTATAAAATGTAATTATGGTATTATTTACTATTGTAAAACTATTAAATTTTTAATGCAGCCAAATAACTCGCTTATATATAGGAATTGTAATTTTTTTTTATCTGATGATATCAATTGATGTTGATGAAACATGTTGTTAAAATTTTTATTCATTTGAAAATTATTTACATATATATATATATATATATATATATATATATATATATATATATATATATATATATATATATATATATATATATATATATATATATATATATATAAATATATATATATATATATATATATATATATGTATATATATATATATATATATATATATATATATATTTTATATATATTATATATATATTATATATATTATATATATATATTATATATATTATATATATATATATATATATATATATTATATATATATATATATATATTATATATTTTATACATATATATATATATGTATATATATATATATATATATATATATATATATATATATATATATATATATATATATATATATATATATATATGTATACACACACACAGATATATATATATATATATATATATATATATATATATATATATATATATATATATATATATATATATATATATATATATATGTATACACACACACAGATATATATATATATATATATATATATATATATATATATATATATATATATATATATATATATATATATATGTATACACACACACAGATATATATATATATATATATATATATATATATATATATATATATATATATATATATATATATATATATATATATATATATATATATATATATATATATATATGTTTAACTATTGTTATTATATTATTAAGAATAATGTATTTGAAAGAAACGCTAACCTTTAAGAACTACTAAATCCATGAATTAATAGAGTAACCCACTGTAAAAGCAATGAAGTTAACAAAATGAATACCACGTAATAAAGCAATTATAGTAACAAATATAGATATATATCTATCAAACAAGGCACGTGTGATATGTTGTTATTAATATTGCTCCGTAAATGTTTTTAAATGTTGTTCGGCAAAATACGCAAATAAAAATAATCGTTCCGAATGGGATAGGATCTAAACACAACCATTTGTAAACAACAATACGTATGTAAATACGTTTTGACAGAATAATGCTTTTGTAAAGATGGTTTAACTTATTTTTAAACAATAATGCTTTAATAAGATGTAGCATCAATCTTTTTTTACTTGTAAACTAAATGGTTTATTTTGAAAACGCGGGAATATGTTAGTATAAAACTTTTTATAGCATTTAAAGCTTGTATTTTTGTTATATTTTGAACAATAAAAAATAACATTCAATTTTATTTTTAATGTTCAAAATATAACAAAAATACAAACATTAAATGCCATAAGTTAAATGTCTTACTATTTTAAACTTATATATTACAGCTTTTTTAAAATTGTATATTGCTACACTGTTTACTAACAATGTAAAAATTATCGTAACAATCATTTGAACAATGTAACATTGTTACAAATGTTACATTGTCTAACGAAGTAAACGTATTAGTTATATAAACTTGTTTTTTTTTTCAATATATGTACGTTTCAATTCTTAACTACCCTCTGCAGTATGCTAGAAGGTTTATAATATAACTGTATGGTAGACAGCAATCAGGGTTTCAACTAAACATAAGAAAAATTTTTAACAACCCTACAATAAGGCTATATTATAGTTTTGTAAATGTTTCAATATTTAGACATTTTATTTAGTAGCCTAAAATTATACAACTGCTGTATGAATTGTTTATTGAGCTCTGTTAGTATAAAACAACTCAAACGTTCCTTCTAGTTTTGATATTTTTTCAATATTGTTTTTTTATACTTTTATATATGTTTTTGCTATTTTTATTATCCTAATCTTATATATAATATAAAAAAATTAAAGGATATTAGAATTTATAATTTCAATTTAGTACATTATAAATAAATACACATTTTTTAACTAAATATAATCTTTTACTATTTATGAGAAATACGAGCCATTTTTTTAAAGCATTTTTTATAACGTGGAGCTATGTCACGATTGTAAAATTTGATGAAATAATAAATTCGAATATCAACAAAATAGTGTATCAGTTTTCTCTCCAAATGCGATGCATGTTTTGGGTGGAGGTTGTATAAAAAAACGAAATTGCAGTCTTTCTTGATAGCTTTAATGATAGTTCCTGCTATATTTTTGCATACAATTATTTTATTAATGTTGTTAGTGAAAATGGCTTCCATTACTCTTACAACTTTGCGTAAACAAGAACTTGGTTCTATTGAATGATTTTTTGTTTCATATTTCTTAGTATAGACAAATTCATCAAAATTACCACAGATTTCAGCAGATGGTTGAGATAAAATATTTGTGCATAATTGACATAAAGAGACTTTTTTAATTAACCAACCAGCAAGAGAACATAAACTCTGTTCTACAGTTTCAGAACATATTTGTAATTTCAAATCCTTTATTAGTATCAAAGGTTTTGCATTACCTATGTGAGTTGACTTTTGTTCATTGAATAATGAGTTATTTGCTACATTACTTTGTTCATTTACTAAATTAAGGCATAAGTCTAACGATATTGCTGCAGTAAAATCAGATTCTGAAACACAATTTGTATTAGACTTAGTTTGTTCAACAGAAGTAAGTAGTAAAGCATTTTGGTATGCAGACTTAAATTGTTTGGCTGTTGGCCTGTCATTCCAACCACCTTTACTTCTTATAATCGAAAAAAAATTCTCTATACAGTCCTGATTGAAATGTGATGTGCAAACAAAATGAAAACCTTCACCAAGCAACTCTCTGGACAATGTCATAATATTGTTTATTGTTGTTATAAGTCCCCAGTGACTGGAAATACCAGTCTGACTTCTAGCATTTTCATAATGCCATGTAGAAATCCAATTCTTAATATCTTCCAAGGTTTTCATAGTCTCTCCTTCAGTTAATGCACACCTAGCTGGTTTGTCTGCTTTTAATTTTCTAGAGTTCATTATATCAAAAAGAGTGTCAACTTTTTTAATGAATTCACATGTTGCCAAAGCATCAGGTGGTAAAAGCTTTGCGATTATACATAAGGACATAGCTGCTGAAACTTGGTGACTAAAAACTTGTGTTGCTAATTTTACTCTCATAGATAGTAAAGATCCAGGTTCAAGGTGGCTGTCTGTCAACTTTGGAGCAAGTCGAACTGGATTTTGCTTGTCTATATTGTAAAAAGACTGCAAGTATTTCCATGATACAGTTTTTCCATTTGTAGATATATCATGTCTAATTAAATTATTTCGAAGACTTTTTATCAAGTGTGGAGGATCAAATATTATGTATACATTTGTTTGAATTGAGGAAGGTGATATGTATGGTCTTGTGTTAAGGAACCCTAGTAACTTCAAAGCTGAAATATTTGTAGTACTTTGGTCACACACAACAGCTCGTACATGTAGTCCAATTGAAGTCAGTTTGTCTATTGCTTCTAATATTATTTGTGATAATTTAACTGATTGAACTGAGTTGTTGCTATAAAAATATGCAATTGGCTGCTTCCACTTTATTGCAATACCCCGAACCATTACAACTAAAACATGATTTAATGGTTTCCCATCTTCATCAATACCAATAATGTGGTCAAGATCTCTTTCATAGTCTACATGCTGTTTGAGAGACATCTCGTCAAATACAAGGCAACAGTTGCGTTCATTGACATTCATATAATTGACTCGCATTTTGAGTAAAGCAAAAACTTTTGCAGAAAATCCAGGCTGTAGGTTTCCAAATGCTTTTGACAAAAAAATAAGAAGAGTTGTCTTACTTGGCAAAGTAAAAATTTGCCTCAAAATACGAAATGCCTGTGGACTATGATACAAGATGCGTAGAGAAACTAGTTTGTCATGTATTGTCCACCTTTTTCCATGTTTTGTTCGCTTGTTCATTCTAAGTTGACTCTCAAAAAATTTAATCTGGTTTTCAGAAAGGTATTTCTTTGCAAGATCACAAATATGTTCAATAGATCCATTGCATTTTTTATTTTGTGTTTTTAAAAACAATAGTTTTTTGTTTAAACGATAATTTTTAACACGATTTAAGTTAATTACTTTTTGAAAATTTAACATCTGTTTTTTAGCTTTATCATTTATATTTAAATCTTCTGAGTTGGTAGTGTCTGTACTAGAAACAACTGCTAACTTTACAGACTGTTCATTAGAAATTGATTTACTTTTTTTGTGTGACTGAGGAAGAAATCTTTCTGAAGGTGCTTTTCTTTTAATAGAAATTTTGTGAGGAGGATTTGGTACATCAAAAAGGGTCGGAATGGCTGTTAAAATTGCTCTTTTGCCTCCAATATTTGTTGGATAATACTGTGTTGGCTCAAAATGTTTACTGCATAGAGCGTATGATTTATTTAGTTCTAATGAAGTTTTCTTGTCGAGATCTTTGCGACGGCAATTGATAACCCACTGCTTACATCTGAAATAAAAATTATATATATATATATATATATATATATATATATATATATATATATATATATATATATATATATCATATATATACATATATATACATATATATACATATATATATGTATATATGTATACATATATATATATATATATATATATATATATATATATATATATATATATATATATATATATATATATATATATATATATATATACATATATATATATGTATATATATATATATATATATATATATACATATATATATGTATATATATATATATATATATATATATATATATTATATATTAATAATAAAATAGATACTAACCTATTTTTGTCTTTTGGAAAGCGAAAAAACGACACACTTTTATCAACATTTTGTCCTCGTTTATGATGACAATTAGATGCTGCGCAAAATCCAGCAGACATGGTTTAGTATTCTATACTATAGTTTGTCAACTTAAAATAATTGAAAGAAAAAGTATATAAAAATCAGCTGTATCATGCGATAGAAAAGTATATATTGTATTTTTTATTTTGTATTTCGTTGTTTATGTTTACAATCTGGCTGTACTACACATCCCAGAAGCCTTTGCGTCAGCAATTACAAGAATTTAATGCAAATTTTGCCGAGTCGCACCCCACTGATTATCACTTACCGGTTTTTTAAAAAACTTTACTCGAAATTACTTGAATATACATTAAAAACGTCTGACAATTGTAAATAAATGTTTAAAAAACTATGAAGTAACTTTTTCTGTCCAACAAGTGCCCTTAAAATAAATATTTAACTTAAAAATCCAAAATAAAAAAAAAATAGTTTTGTCTAGATTTAAAGCAATTCTGGGGTTCTTTTAACGGCGCACAGTGGTAAACTTGCTGAAGACAAGGATTCTTGATGACAAGACCATATTGTGAATCAAGAAACCGCTTTTAGTTGCGATATTTTTTTATATTTAATTTATAACAAATTTCAGTTTATTTTCAATATAAGTAGACCGGGGTAGGGGCGATTTCACCACAAGGACGATTTCGCCACTTTTAATATTTCAAGAAAAATATGTTATTCTGGCATAACCCTTTATTAAGATGATCTAAAATATTTATTATTTTAAAATTATAACTATATAACTATTGATTGATCCTAGTTGCCGCCTAATTTGATTGGTTGTTGTAAATTTTAAATGAGATTTGCTGTTTAATCTTATTATTTGATATTATCGTGTCACTCTTGCTCCAAGCGGCATTATTATTAATTTTGTGAAATTGATTAAAACTACATTTGAGAATAACTGCTAAGATTAGAGCTTCATAAATTTGTTAAAATTATTTAACTGGCGTTCTTAGTATATATTTTAAATAGGTTTTAGTCCAAGTAGATTATTGTGTGGTGATTTCGCCACAGAATGATAGAATAGTCCCACAGTTAAAAAATTATGTAATGTAAAATATTAATTATCATATAAACAATTTTATTAAATATTGGGCATATTTTAGGAATTATCGTATAATAAATTTTTTAGAAGTATTTTGAAGATATAATAAACCAATAGTTTGTAGAAATACATTTAAAATTAAATTACTTTACTATTTAACTTAAAAATAGTTTTCTG